TCTTTAGTCAAGATTGACAAGGTTTTTCATAATGAAATGCACACAGACCTTCCATCCAAACTTAACTTAATGTTAACGTGGTTTCAATGTCTCACTTTTGCAAAAAAAAAAAAAAAGATATAAAATTAAAAATTATAATGCACCCTAACCAGTTTTGTGCATTACCATCACGATTATCCGCCAAGTCATCATATCCGAATGAAGTTTAACTAATACCAATAAAATAATTAAAGATAAATGACAAAATAATAAAATGATAATATGTATGTAATACTAATGTTCATATCTAGTTAAGTTAATCCCAATATTTTGATTTTATCCTTGACATTGCATCTACACTCTGATGTTTCTTTCCTATCCTACGTTTCACTTCGAAATTGTATGATTGTAATGTCGTGATCCAACGAGCTGACTTTTTTTTTGGTTCCTTCATATTGTTCAGATATTTTAATACTACATGATCCGTGATTAATCTGAATTAGGATCCACCAAGGTAAGTATGAAAATGCGCTTGCAGAGTGGTCATTCTGGTGGAACTTTTTGATTAAAGTCTACATAATAACCAGATCTGTTTTCATCCACATAATCTTTTTCAAATTAATTTTATATCCACGTACTTCAGTGGTGCATTGTTATTATTTAAAAAAATGGTAATGATGGTTGTGATTACCAGTTTGTCACTTGTTATTCTAGTTTTAATGGTAAATTGTTTAATTGCTTTTGTAGAGTAAAAAAGAAAAAAGAGCAAGCATCTACTACATTTAACAGTCGTGTGCATATTTCACGAGAGAGATTGTAAGGATAAATTACATTTTTTCTCATCTAATATATCTATAATATATCATTCTATTAAATAAAATAAAATTTAAAGATGTCATGCTCCTCCAACCAAAGAACCAATGATTGAAGAAATGCATAACTGACCCGACCAATGTCTCACAGTTCAAAAAAAAATAATGGAAAACTTGTTCTTACTACAAAATGAAAGGTCGAGACAATAATTGTGTAAAACAATCGATAAAGAAACTAAAACATCAGATGTTTATTTGTTGATATTTTTCATAGTAGATTAGTTTTACTTGTTGATTATTTTATTTGCACAACAAAACATGTGTAAAATAAAGAACAAAAAAATTTCGAGTTGAATGCTAGAAAGTAAAAATATATATCAAAAAAAGGAAAAACGAAATGGGATTTTTATCTAAGGCAATACTACAAATAGCATTGATGATGAAATAGAATGGTATTTGTACTGATCCTAATGTGACAATTAATATAAATAAAAAAATAATAAAAAATAAAATGCAACAAATCAAAAGAAACGCTACTACAATAAAATACACACCCAAATAAAAAACAAGAAAACCGCATACAATACATATTGAAATTAATCCAAAATCCATTGAAAATGTACCAAATTTAAGAAGAATCTTTCCTAACTCCACAAAAAAGTGATATAGAAAATATGGAATCCCACTATAAATCTGAATAATTCGAAATTTCGGAAACAATATATCATTGTTTTTAATTCTCCGATATAAAAAAATTGTAGGAGATACCAAGGCTATTACTGGAGGTAAACTAATTGCAATCAATACCAAGTGTCTGCTTATGATGACATAATCATCTTCAAGACGTAATAAAATCACACCTTGGATAATTGATGGTATAACCAATGATATTGGTTTTAGATTCCGATATAATTACTGATCAAAATTGCAATTACTTTAAAAATCTCAATAATAAAAAAATTGAAATTTTTTGTAATAAAATACAAACGAGCCGCATTTAATAAAATCACGTAAGCTATATAGATTATACGGTCCTTTTCACATTCTTTATCTAAAAAATTTGATCTATAATAAACTAACTCCAAGAACAACCAAAAAAATACAATTATTACTCCATGTATTATTGCTCTGGGTCTAACTTCTTTGTCAATCCCAGTGATCATTCCAAGTGTGCTAAGAATCATGCTTAAAAAGTTAAGTAAAGCTGTAGAAGCGAACTCAAATACTTTTATATCTCTATGTCTCATACTTCTATGTGAAGAAAAAAAACAAATTCCGATACAAATATCTAGTGCTAGTATAAATGCATCAATAAAATATGTGATATAGTCTGATTTAGAAACATTAGTGGTAAAAGGTAAATCAGTAGTATCGTCGAATGAAGGTTGTGAAAAAGATGTAAAGGAAACAGTGGAAAAGGTAGCTGAAGAAGAGGATGGAGGTGACAAAGATTTAACATTAGAAATCAAAAATGAAAGAATGATTGATGTAAAGTTTGTTAGAAAAGAATGACAGTTTTTAACATGAAAAATATCCATTTCGAAAATAATTTCAAAATTTTTAAATTTAGTGTATTGTTTATTAATTTATTATTATTATTGTTATTATTTACGTCGTAGGGAACCAACCAATAAAGTTTTTATAAGGTGTGAGAGGAAAACAAATAAAAATAAGGAAAAAGTGCTACATTCACTCACTGCCTGGCGAATCTCATTAATTGGTTAATATTGTAATAGAGACAATATTAACATATATAAGTGAAATGAAAGATTAAAAAATAATAATAAGAGTTTCTATAGATGATATTTACTTTTTTTTCATTTCGGATTTTTAGATTCAGCGAGGAACTGAAATATTAAGCAGGCGTGTATATTCAGATTCCGAAACGCAGCATTCATGATCATGGTTTACTGGGCTGCACTTTTGACATACTGCTTTATTGCATAGCCAATGAATTGTTATCATTTTCAAGTCAGATAATTCATCCCAATGGACATAGGATTGAGAATTGGTACATTGGTGTCAAAGATAATGAATTTACCCCCATAAAAAACTGTCTAAAAGGTACTGAATACATACTAATACATATGGAATTCAAATAGTACCGTTAAATTTCAAATTCCACCAATTAATTTAAAATCCTATCCCCGTAATTGTTGACCATAATATATAAATAACAGTTTCAAAGTGAAAAACTGGCGCTAAATTAGTTTTAAATCGGGATAAAATAACAGTTATCAAGAACATTCCAGTATGTATCTTCTGATTGCAAAAAGTATTTTTGATTAGAAACCATACACATTTTGCTTAGCATCACAAAGGAAAGCTTAGGTCGGAATTATATATTGGTTCATTGAGAAATCTGAAAAGTTTGAGGGTACTGATGAGTTGGAGAAATTGGGCCGATGGATAGAGATTGGACCCGTCCGAAAAAACCTTATCTGGATCACCCATCAGACAAACACACGGGTGATTCGGGTGATTGACGCTTAATATTACTCGATCAAATGATATAAATAATTTTTATTTACAAACAATAACTGATTCACTGCTTCATGCCCTAAATGTGTTCTTTTAGAGGTAACCAAATTTCCTGCATCAGAAAAAGATGCTCATATGGAACAGAAGTGATAGGAATTGATAAGTGTTCACGTGTAATTCTACTAAGATGGGAAAAGAGAATATGTTCGCAAAATTGTATTTCAAGTCCTTAACAATTTTATTAACTGTATATCAAATTTTCACACCTATTATTAATTGGGAATAAACGTTTTAATAAACCAGGTAAACCAATTATTGAATTAATCGAAATAATTAAATTTGCAAATAGATTAATTACTGAAAAGCCTTTACTATACCTATCCTAACTCAGATTTAGTATGGGTACCTTACGAGCATAACAAAGTTGATGGAATGTGGATTCGGCTCAATTTATATATTAATATGTTGCACACCAAATTCAAGATCGTAATTGACATGTGTGAAATCAATAATAGGACCCAGGATTTGGATTTTATACAACAACTACATAGAATGCTCCTATTCATTTACACAAAATGATCAAATTTGAAGGTTGTGCAGATTTATATAAAATTTTATTTGTTTAAAATTATTAAATTGATATTTATACAGTATTATTTATTATATTTATCAAAATTACTAATTAATGTTAACGCAAAAATTAAATTGATGATACATTCATTGGGTAGAAAAAAAGTCAAAAAAAATAAAATTAAACAACAGGTTGATCGTTGGTGCTCAAATAAGGTTGATGATCTGTATCAGATTGAGGGTTTAAATAAGATTGTGGAATTTGTGATTGTTGAGGAACAGGTTTCTGCTGGTTGGTCATTACTGTATTCATATTTTCGTTATCATTGGAACCATTGATGTCACCGCCTCCTTCACTTGCAACTTGATTTCCTTTGTAAAATGCAAAAACTGACAAGAGTGAGGATATAAGGGATATCATCACAAAACTAAATCCACCATCTCCAAATTTCAAAGGTGAAGCATCATTAAACCAATTTTCGAGTTTTAAAAACATGTCAATTTGTCCTGCTAATGCTAACAAAATGATTAAAGAACTAAATAATGCAAAGACCCATGTCATATTTTTATTCACAACATGACTACGAGCATAAATTCCGATGCAAAGCAACATCAGTGATGTTATTACACCTATAAAATATATTCAAACAATTATTATAGTGTATATAATATATTTCACACTTTAGTGGTATGATTAATCAATAAATACGTTACCAATAGCATGCATAATCAACAAAAATTTTGTACCGTCAAAAATATTCGAACTTTCAAAATTATTCTCGCATTCATATTCATAAACAGTAAAATCACGATCATTCTTACTTTTACTATAAAATTGCGTACACTCGCCGTATATTCCTAACAACCTCTTCTCACCATCACTACTCGTATAACTCACAATATAAATTGACTTGATAATTGGCGTCCCCAAGTTCACTAATAAAAGACACAGGAACGAGATAAGTGACATACCAGCTGCAGCAGTGTATGCAGTTTTAGCGGAAATAGCAAAATCCATTCCTATCACTTATAAAAATGATTTTTTTTAATAAAGAAATTGAAACAGGGTAACAGAACTTGAAGCTAAATGATTCTTTGGTAATAAAAATCTTGGATTCAAAAATCAAGCGGAAAGCTATATATATAAATTTCCTCATCTAAATGTATTTTTGTACTCCTCATTCTTTTTATATAAATGTTGTGTTTCACCAAGATATTGAAACCAATTTCGCTTTTTTCATTTTATATTCGTTGTGTTCATCAGAAAGTAATGATTATTCTAATGCTAAAAACAGTGTTATTATTTTTAATCATCATCTTAATCGAGATTTTAAATAATACTAATTAATACTCAATACTGATACTTTATTTTCCTGCCAAAAATCGTAGATATAGTCATAACTGATAAAGAGAACCAAATTTAAGTAAGTATATATTAAATATACTTGATATTTTCTTGCCTTTATTTTTATTTTGTAAATTAGAATCAAGTTGAATGCAATTATGAGTATAATTAGAGATGTGCCACGCACAGTGTGTGACGCACAGTGCGCTGCGCACTGTGCGCACTGTGCGTGGGAATTTTTGAGTGCACTATGCGCGCATAGTTCTCATGTTGTACTACATAGCATGCATGTACAAGTTTCTCCATATTA